AATATAGGGTGACAGCACATCTGTTGTAGTCTTAAAAGTAATACCAATATATGATATGTTTGAATCTCCTCTATATTCTTGAACTTTTTAAATAACTTTAATAATTCAGGATGATCTTTTAATGCTATTTCTTTATCTTTACTTTGTTCTGTAAACAAATAATCCCTTTATTTAATACTGTTAATATTTAAATATATATTAGGATTAACACATATTATGATTAATTGTAAAAAGCATCACAATAAAATATATAGACACAATCATACATATAATAAACATTTGAAGCACTGAAATTAAAAGAAACAAATTAGTAAATTAAAAAAAAAAAATTATCATACAAAATACCTTGAAAATATTGAACTTTACATTGTACTTGGGTACTTGGGTCAAATAATTTTTCTTTTGCTGCTCTATCATATAAATATGTTGCAAAAAAATTACTGAAATAATAAATTGCAACAGTCACTTATAATTTTACTATTGCTCAATCAAATTTAAAATGTTTATTACCTCGAAAATGTTAATAGTTGTTCGTATGCATTTCTCTCTTCTGTTGTTAATTCAATTTCAATTGTAATAATTTCCTTTGGGGGTAAATTAAATGTTGTAAATTGTGTAAGCTCTGTCTTTGTCCGTCTTAACATTAAAGTTTTTACAAGTAGAGAAAGCCTGTGTTTCCCTGCATCATCATTATTACCAACCCACCTTTTCCAAACCTTCAAAATTCAAAAAATTAATATTGTTGATATCCATTTTAGCCATAATTTCCAAATCCACGTATAACAAAATAATTTTAAATAACTCAACTTTCCCAACATGTGCTGGAAAAATAAAAGTATTTTTATAAATACTAACTGATTTATTTAATTTTGTTATTGTGTGAATACCTAGTATAATAACTAATAATGTATTACAATATGGATGTCTATACTAAAATTGTGTCAACATTAGTAGTTTCCATTATAATGAAAATAAATTAATAATTAGAAATAAAAAATCTATAGGAATACATAATCATACTTACAGGCCAATCATCAAACGGCTTGCAACGTATGAATTTCAACAAAGTAAAAAAGTCAGCTTCTTTGTTATGGATTGGAGTTCCTGTGATAGCCCATCGATTTAGACTTTTAATATTACATACAGCAACTGAAGTCTGTGTCTTATGATTTCTAATATTATGGCCTTCATCCAAAATAACGCGATTCCATTTTATTTTATATAAAGGACTCTAAAATTATTTTTTTTAATAATTAAACTATGACCAATTCTTTATGATTTATATAAAATGTTTACTAACTGTATTCTGTCGTATTTTATAATCCCACATAACTACATGGTAGGATGTAATTACCAAATCATTTTCTGCCAGCTCTAAAGCTGAAAAATTTCTATTTACTCCATAATACTGGCCAACTTTCAGTAGTCCAGGTTTCAATTTAGTTTTAACCTCTGTTTCCCATTGATTGATCAAGGATGCTGGACAAACAACCAATGTTCCACCAATGATAACTATAAAAACATAAGTCAAATATTTTTTTATGAAAATATATGTATTTGGAATAATGTTTTCATAAGTTGAAAAATATAATTTTTTAAAGTTAGTACTYAATTTATATAAGTTTAATTAGGTATTAATTTAATAAAATTTCACCATCAATTCTTCTGTTGTCAATAGATACTACTGGTAGTGAATTTTTAGGTGGTTTTTCTTTCAACTTTAAAATTAATGATATCATGGATAGCGTTTTACCTAAACCCATGTCATCCGCTATAACATAATATAACCAATTTATTATAAGTTTGTTACCATCAAWAAATTTAATGTATACTATGTACCTAAAATTCCACCATGTGGCTCCTGACTTTCTCTCCATATCAGCCAAGCAATTGCATGTTTTTGATGTGGCATGAGAGGTACAACTAACCCTTCTGGATCT